CATCATCAGCATCATCAGCGTCAGCTTTAACAGCAGCATCGTCATCAGAATCATCATCATCAGTATCATCAACATCATCACAACCACCACCACCACCACCACCACCACCACCATCATCATCATCATCATCATCATCATCATCATCATCATCATCATCATCATCATCATCATCATCATCATCATCATCATCATCATGATCATCATCACCGTCATCATATGCAACCTCATCCTTGTCCTCGTCATCTTCCTCCTCCGCCTCCTCCTTCTCCTCCTCCTCATCATCACCATCATCATCGTCAGCATCATCATCAGCAGCAGTATCAGCATCAGAATCAGCATCATCAGTATCGACATCAGCAGTTTCAGCATCAGCATTAGCATCAGCATCAGAAATCAGCATCAGCATCATCAGCATCATCATCATCATGATCATGATCAGCATCATCACCATCATCATCATCATCATCATCATCATCGCCATCACCAGCATCATCATCACCACCACCACCATCATCATCATCATCATCATCATCATCATCATCATCATCATCATCATCATAAGCATCATCAGCAGCAGCAGCATCATCACTATCATCCCCATCATCATCGTCATCACCATCGTCATCATCAACAAAAATAGTATCATCAAGGTCAGCAGTATCATCATCAGCATCAGCATCACCATCAGCATCAGCATCATCAGCATCAAGCACCATCATCACACCATCATCAACATCAGCATCATCAGCATCATCATAATCATCAGCATCACCATCATAATCGGCATCATCACCATCATCACCATCACCATCAACATCACCATCATCATCATCATCATCACCATCATCATCATCATCATCATCATCATCATCATCGTCATCGTTCCGCGTTCCGAGTACCGCGTTCCACGCTCCGCGTCCGCCGTCCTACTCGTTCCTGCCAATTCTCCTACTCCTCCTAGTGCTCCTCCTCCTCCTACTACTACTACTACTACTACTACTGCTGCTACTACTCCTCCTCATCCTCCTCCTCCTCCACCTCCTCCACCTCCTGTTCCTCGTCGACGCACGAGACATCCAAACGGCGCGCCTGGAGCGACGACTGAAAGGCTATGTCTCTTACCCTGCGTTCTTGCACCGCTTATCACCAAAAGCTCCCAGGAGGGCTCCAAGGGGCTCCAAGGAGGCCCCCAGAGAGAGTCCCGATGGGGGCACATCCGAGGAAGCGGCGATATTCCCGACCTAGTTCCTATTGCGCCTAGCGCCCAGACCAGGCAATGTGGCGAAAGCGAGGTAGCTAGATAGTTATAAGGATCCGGCACCGTGCCTCTGGGCACGGAATGGGCGTGTCCTCAGGTTCCTTGCCTTCTCCTCCAAGCCGCAATCCTCACTCCTGAGGAGTCTTTAAGGGGCCTGGAGCCCAAATTCTCAATCTGCCGGGGTGTCCCGCATGGCCTCTGGGGCTTCCCGCGTGCTCCCCGGGCTCCAGGAAGTCTTCTCGCATGACTTTCCCGAGAGGGCCCGAAGACGGGCCAAGAGGGCCCCACGAGGTCCCCAAGACGGTCCAAGAGGGCCCTGAGACGCCCAAAGATCGGCCCACGACGCCCAAGATGAACTCAAGATGGCCCAACAGGCCTCCAAGACGCCCCAAGAGGCCTCCAAGAGGCGTCCCAAGAGAGCCCCAATAAGCAAACATCATGTGTTTACGTTAGGTTTCTGAAGGATTTAGGCGTTCTCGCCTTTTCGGATCTTCGACGCGCTCCAAGACGGCCCAAGAGGCCACCAAGACCACCCCAAAACGGCCAAAGAGGCCTCCCAGAGAGCGCCCAGACGGCCTAAGAGCGCCCCAAGACGGCCCAAGAGGCGCCCAAGACGGCCCGAGAAGGCGCCAAGACGGCCCCAAGAGGGGCCCAAGAGAGGGAACACGAACCGAAAATCTTAGCCTTCCGCCCCAAGAGGCCCCCAAGGAGGCCCCAAGAGGCGCCCAGGAGGCCCCCAAGAGGCGCCCAGGAGGCCCCCCAAGAGGTGTCAGGCCCCCCTCCGCGCAGTGTTTTTTTACACACAGGATTCCCGGGAGTTAGGTTGTCGCTTGGGTTTTGTTCCAAAATATTGCTCCCGCTGAAGCGCTGGCCTCATTTTCAGGCTTCCGCTCGTTCCGAATCGCGCTCCCGCTGCAGCGCTGGCATCATTTCCGCGCTTCCGCTCGTCCCGAATCGTGCTCCCGCTGCAGGGTTGGCCTCACTTCCGCGCTTCCGCTCGTTCCGAATCGTGCTCCCGCTGCAGCGCTGGCATCTTTACTTCCAGTGCCATGCCACGGCATGGTTTTCGGTCCTTCCAAATGGGCCCCAAAATCTACAATTATCCCGGCAAAGCAACCTAACAGCGATGTGTAGAAGCATATCTGAAAGCATTCCCCTTAAGATTCAGATGAAAATCCAGTTGTCGAATTCTGCTGTTCTCGCAGTCGTAGTCGCATTCGCGATGACAGTCGCAGCGGCAACGGCAGTCGCAGTCACAGCCTCAGCCTCAGCCTGCCTCCTCCTCCTCCTCCTCTTTCTCCTGCTCCTCCTCCTCCTCCTCCTCCTCCTCCTGCTCGTCCTCGTTCTCGTCCTCCTCGTCTTGCTCGTCCTCCTCCTCCTGGTGCTCTCTCCCTCCTCCTCCTCCTCCTCCTCCTCCTCCTCCTCCTGGTGGTCCTCGTTCTCCTCCTCCTGGTGCTCTCCCCCCCCCTCCTCCTCCTCGTCCTCCTCCTCCTCCTCCTCGTCCTCCTCCTCCTCTTCCTCCTCCTCCTCCTCCTCCTCCTCCTCCTCCTGGTAGTCCTCCCCCTCCCCTCCTCCTCCTCCTCCTCCTCTTCCTGGTCGTCCTCGTTCTCGTCCTCCTCGTCTTGCTCGTCCTCCTCCTCCTGGTGTTCTCTCCTCCTCCTCCTCCTCCTCCTCCTCCTCCTCCTCCTCCTCCTGGTGGTCCTCGTTCTCCTCCTCCTGGTACTCTCCCCCCCCCTCCTCCTCCTCCTCGTCCTCGTCCTCCTCCTCCTCCTCCTCCTCCTCCTCTTCCTCCTCCTCCTCCTCCTCCTCCTCCTCCTCCTCCTCCCTCCCCTCCTCCTCCTCCTCCTCCTCCTCTTCCTGGTCGTCCTCCTCCTCCTGGTCGTCCTCCTCCTCCTGCTCGTCCTCCTCCTCCTCCTGCTCGTCCTTCTTCTCCTGCTCCTCCTGCTCCTCGTCCTGCTCCTGCTCGTCCTCGTCCTCCTGGTCTTGCTCGTCCTCCTCCTCGTCGTGCTCTTGCCCCTGCTGAAAATGTGGCCCAGGAATGGGAGTTCTGGGAAGTCGAAGAGCACGAAGTTGCCTACAGTTGGCTACGGGCATTCAAAATGTGGCCCGGGAATGGAGTTCTGGGAACTCGAAGAGCACGAAGTGGCCTACAGTTGGCTCCGGGCATTCAAAATGTGGCCCGGGAATGGAGTTCTGGGAACTCGAAGAGCACGAAGTGGCCTACAGTTGGCTCCGGGCATTCAAAATGTGGCCCGGGAATGGAGTTCTGGGAACTCGAAGAGCACGAAGTGTGTGACTGTTGCATCCGGCCCTCCAGAATGTGGCCCGGGAATGGAGTTCTGGGAACTCGAAGAGCACGAAGTGTGTGACTGTTGCATCCGGCCCTTCCAGAATGTGGCCCGGGAATGGCGTTCTGGGATCTCGAAGAGCACGAAGTGTGTGACTGTTGCATCCGGTTATTCAGAATGAGCCTGGGAATGGAGTTCTGGGAACTCGAAGAGCACGAAGTGTGTGACTGTTGGTGAAAAACGAGGTCGGCACAGGCCCGCCCGGCAACTCCCAACACCTGCCCGGACCCCCCTGTGGAGTGATCTGTGAGCTCTTTTTAGACCACTAGAAACCTATCAGTCTTCGCTGTTAGGTAAAATGGCCCCCCAAAAAAACCGTCCATCGGAACTGATCCCATAGTCGGTGTCGATTCGTTGATTTTTTGAGCCGAAGAAGCCCCTGGGGCGTCGCAACGCCATGCTATGTCATGCTACGCGTTGATCTTCAACACCATGCTGTGCCGCGTGATGCTATGCCATGCTACGATATCCAACTGTGCGAATAGAGAGAAGATCTACGCCAGGGTAAAGGATGCAGGGCAGGAGTAGGACGTCAGCTATGACGCGAGTGCACCTAGCTTGTCACCCCCTCCTCCACCCTCATTACAATATTCATGATCGTCGTCGTCATCCTTCTCCTCCTCCTCCTCCTCCTCCTCCTCCTCCTCTTCCTCTTCCTCGTCATCATCATGATCATGATCATGATCATCATCATCATCATCATCATCATCATCATCAGCATCATCATCATCCTCATCCTCATCCTCATCCTCATCCATCATCCATCATCCATCATCCATCATCCATCATCATCATCATCATCATCAGCACCATCATCATCATCATCAGCATCGTTATCATCATCAGCATCAGCATCAGCATCAGCATCATCATCATCATCAGCATCATGTTCATCATCACCATCACCAGCATCATCATCACCATCATCATCACCATCATCATCATCATCGCCCTCGTGCCGAAACAACGTGCCCCAAAACCAAGCGGGCCCGCCCTCGCCAAACCAAGAATCGCCGCTAGTCCTGGCTCGCGGTACGCTCCCCGTCCACATCTCCTGACCAGCTGCGACATGGCGCGTCCCTGCGCACGATGTTCACTTCGTTCGGCGCGCGCGCGTCCATTGGCTTGGGGATTTGGTTCAACCGCCTTGCAAAGCGTGCTGCCTGTTTATCTGCAGCAAAACCCCTATCGAGCAACTAATGCCAACCACCGGAACGGCTGCAATGCTGCAAGCGCAGCATCATTCCAATCCAGCATTGACACTACACCCGTGATCACGACATCATGTCGCGAGTGTGCCCTGGCAGTCCAAGACTACACCAGTCAAAGCTTATCCCCGAACGGTACAATCGCCGCGCCAAAAGGGGGCGGCAGCACGCGGGAAGCACGCGAGTAGGCAAGAAAAAACAGGCCATCCCCGCCTGCAGGGCGCTCCTGTTGTCCGAGTCCAGGCCCACGGGCCACTGCGCATACGCCCACATCACGTGCCGATCGCCGCCCTTGTCCTCCGTCCCTGGCCACTCTAAGCTCGCATCCACGTCGTCATTGACGATCACGGAGCCTGGATCCATGTACAACACCTGGGACGCCGCGCGACGGACCGAGGCCGGGCGAGGAGAGCGCGGGAGGTAAGCGACCGCGGAGCGCAGCTCGAACGAGAAGAAAGAGCAGCAGACGTGCCGCAGCGGTGGCAGCGGGGGGACCACGACGAGACAGAGGCAGGATCAATCAGCATCGAATCGGCAAGTCGAATCGAACCGAAGCGTGCATCGGATCGAGCTGTATCGGCACGGCATGATCGAAATGGAGTCGGATCGGCTGCGCCATGGTGCATAATGGCGCCATGTAAGTATCGAGCCGCATCGGACCGTCGGAATGTAGGAATCGATTCGGATCGGGCTGGCCATAATCAATATCGAGTCGGATCGATCGGATCAAAATGGGCCCTGCAGTGGTGGAGAGGAAGCGGAGCACGAAGAGCGAGATGAAGAGGAGGAATGGGAGGAGAAGGAGAGATGGACAGGAGCGGAGCGAAACGACAGGGAAGCATAAGCACGACGATGAGAAGGAATGGGTGCTAGAATGAAGGCACCGTCCTCAAACATAAGCCACATACTGGCATGAGCGAGCGATGGATGGGAAAGGGGGCACGTACTACGAACATGGAAGCGGCAGTCCATGTGTAAGGGAGATGGAAAAGATTACGGGTAAGGTATACGCCTGACGAATCGACCTGCCAGAACATAAGTAGGAGTCCTAAACCCGGATACAATAACAAATGCAAATACGAATGAACATGGACAGTAAACTGGTGAAAACGGCGCATGGAGCAGCACAAAATGCAGGTGCAGGCGTGTGAAGATCAAATGCTTTTGGGGTACGAGCGCGAAGAATCGAGTGCACGATGGGTCGTGGTACTGCTTGGGAAAAGGTATGATGTATGAACAGCCAAACGAATCAGGGATCAGCTAGCATGTGGCATAGTATGAAGCACAATCTTTTGAATTGAGCATGTGGAATGCAAAGGGTAAGAGCAATGGCAAGAAATGTGTACTAACAAAGACCATGAAACTAACGTGAACAGAAATTACCGCACTACGGGCGCTTACACCACGGAAGAATACGACTACGCCTGGGTGTTGAACTGGAAATTATGAGCCGGTTCAGATAGAAGGATAAGCAAAACTACCAGGACCTTGGAAAATTAGCCTGGCGAGGGATCCAACCATATGCACTTATGAATACCGCAATTGTGAATACCATCTTCGCCCGCGCTCCCTATGCGGCCACGGTTTCCCGCCGGAGCCCGACATGCTCAGGAACACGTTCGTGGCCGTCTTCGCGGGCGCCGACGACGACAAGGACGGCGTCCCCGTGACCGAGGAGCAGAAGCAGGAGAGGGCTTTGAGAGCCATGAGGGAGGTGGCGTTGCACGTCGACAAGGCGGAGCACGACGCCCAGGCAACGGTTGTTGAAGCAGCACAACTATGGGGCCACGATCCTCGTGAGGGGTGTGCCGAAATGGCCCGAGGCCGCCATGCGAACTTTGCCATTGGCGCCTTCGGTGGAGCTCATATGGGGCCACGATCCTCGTGAGGGGTTTGCCGAAATGGCCCGAGGCCGCCATGCCAACTTTGCTACTGGCGCCTTCGGTGGAGCTCCTATGGGGCCACGATCCTCGTGAGGGGTGTGCCGACATGGCCCGAAGCCGCCATGCGAACTTTGCATCTGGCGCCTTCGGTGGAGCTCCTATGGGGCCACGATCCTCGTGAGGGATGTGCCGAAATGGCCCGAGGCCGCCATGCCAACTTTGCTACTGACGCCTTCGGTGGAGCTCCTATGGGACCACGATCCTCGTGAGGGGTGTGCCCACATGGCCCGAGGCCGCCATGCGAACTTTGCATGTGGCGCCTTCGGTGGAGCTCATATGGAGCCACGATCCTGGTGAGGGGTGTGCCGAAATGGCCCGAGGCCGCCATGCGAACTTTGCTACTGGCGCCTTCGGTGGAGCTCCCCCCCCTCCCCGGGTCAGCGGGGGCCCTTGCCACTGGCTCGGGCCCTGACCTCCTCCAGGCGCCGCCCCCGCAGCGCGGCCCTTCGCGCGGCGCCCTTCTCGGCCCGCGAGGCGAGGGTCGGCCCGGTGCCTTCCACGACCTCGAGCTCAGTGGCGAGGTTCCAGTTGCCGTCGGTCAGGCTGCGCTCGTTCGCCCTGAACCGCTGCATGGGCACGTCCGCCATAGACGCCAGGTGCCCCTCCTCCAAGAGGTCGACGGCTCTCGAGAGCGTCTGCAGCTCGCGCACGGACCGCTCTCCGGTCGAACTGATCGGGTGGTGACCGAAGACGATCGCCGTCAAATGGCCCCGCACCTTCGGTCGCAGCCCCTGGCCGCTCGCCCCCCGGGCTGCCTGTCGGCCAGCGACCAAACTTTGCCGCCGCGGGGGGGGGCGCCGCGAAAGAGCGACCCGCCGTCGGCCGCCTCCTCGCTCGTGCTGCGTGGCCGCTCGCGGCGGCGCCGAGGGGCGCGGCCTGCGGGGGGCCGAGCAGCCGCTACCTCGGCCGCTGCTGCAGCATGGCCAGCGGCAGCTCCAGCCAGCCGTCCTGGGGCGGGGTCCGCAGCTGCTACGGGACCGCCCGCGCCACCCGGCGGCGGGAGCACGCGCGGGCGCACCCAGGGCTCCAGGAGGCTGCGAGCCGAGCGGAGGCGAGCGGAGGCGCAGCCAATCCACGCGGCGCTCGCCTCGCCCCGCCACTGCCTGAGCCTGGCAACCCGCGGCTCCCGCGCTGCACAAGCGCAGCAGCCCTGGGGGGCCGGCGCCAGGCATCGGGAACGCGGCATCGAGCAGCAAGGCCCGCCCCGCCACAGACGCTCCACGGAACTGCACGGCCAAATACAGCCCGTCGGGGCCTGGCGTCCCGGAGGTCTCGATCTCGAAAACGGCGCCGCCCTCGACCTGGCCAGCGGCGTCGTGGGTCGGCGTTTCCACCACCACCCCTCGGGCGAAGGCGCCACCGACCAGGTTGGCCCCGCTGAGCCACGGCCCGTCCACGAAGGCCGAGATGCGCGCCCCAGGCTGGACCGCAGCTCCGTCAGCGGCACCGCGTCCAGCGGTCTGCCAAACTCCCACAGCCCCCGCGCTTGCAACGGGTGGGCCAGCCGCCGCGGCGGCAGGCGGAGGGGGAGCGCCTGCCCCGCCGCCCGCAGGAGGGGTTGCCGCGAGGGCGCCGACCAGCGCGGTTCCGATGCAACTAGGGCCGCCGCCCGGCGCAGCGCCAGCCGCTCCAGGCGGCCCCAGCGCCGCCAGCCCCGCCCCCTGGAGCTCCGAGATCGAACACGGGCGCGCCGGGCAGCACGGGCGCGCCGACTGGGGCACCGCCTCAACCCCCAAGTGGAAAACGGGAAGGAAGGCGGGCGGGGCCCCAGCCACATGCCCACCGCCAGCCCTTCGGCCTCGGCCGCGCGCGCCGCCAGCCGCTGCGCCGCGCCCGCGGGCCACGGCCTTGGCGAGCCCCTTCGCCTTAGCCTTGGCCTTCGCCAGGGACCGACCGCAACGATGTTTAAAGCGACATGTCGTTCACAACGAACAACGAAACGAGGCCCAACGTTCAAAACGGACTTTAAAACGAAGCCTGTGCCAAACGAAAACGGACGACGAACCAGGCGTTCAAAACAACAGCGAATAACGAAAAGAAATTACCCTGTGACGTACCCAACCCATCTGTATCAAGGGAAACGAAGAGTTGGCCGAAACTTGCACGGACAATCCAATTGCAGGATCCGTTGTTTGATATGTAAGCTCCTTGGGACACGCGCCAATGGCATGATGCGCAGGAGAACCATACAAGAACGAGGGGCGACAACTACAGGCTCGAAGAGGACATGGGGAGTCGGGAACGAAGAGCAGGAGAAAGACGCGCGGGAAGCCCAGTGTGCTGTGCCCCTCAGCAGCCCTCGAAGGTGGCGACAGTTTCACAGATCGCAGCCCCCCAGGGATGGCGAGGTCTACTCTGAGTCTGCAGTGAGTACCCATTGCGCTGGGCCCCTCAGCGGCCCTCGAAAGGGGCGACAGTTTCACAGATCGCAGCCCCCCAAGGATGGCGAGGTCTGATATGAGCCTGCGGTGTGTACCCACTGTGCTGGGCCCCTCAGCAGCCCTCGAAAGTGGCGACGGTTTCACAAATCGCAGCCCCCCAGGGATGGCGAGGTCCCATTTGAATCCGCCGTGGGTACCCACTGCGCTGGGCCCCCCAGCAACCCTCGAAAGTGGCGACAGTTTTACAGATCGCAGCCCCCCAGGGAAGGCGAGGTCCCATGTGAATCCGCCGTGGGTACCCACTGTGCTGGGCCCCCCAACAGCCCTCGAAAGTGGCGACAGTTTCACAGATCGCAGCCCCCCAGGGATGGCGAGGTCCCATTTGAATCCGCCGTGGGTGCCCACTGTGCTGGGCCCCCCAGCAGCCTCGAAAGTGGCGACAGTTTCACAGATCGCAGCCCCCCAGGGATGGCGAGGTCCCATTTGAATCCGCCGCGGGTGCCCACTGTGCTGGGCCCCCCAGCAGCCCTCGAAAGTGGCGACAGTTTCACAGATCGCAGCCCCCCAGGGATGGCGAGGTCCCATTTGAATCCGCCGTGGGTACCCACTGTGCTGGGCCCCCCAGCAGCCCTCGAAAGTGGCGACAGTTTCACAGATCGCAGCCCCCCAGGGATGGCGAGGTCCCATTTGAATCCGCCGCGGGTGTCCACTGTGCTGGGCCCCCCAACAGCCCTCGAAAGTGGCGACAGTTTCACAGATCGCACCCCCCAGCCCCCCAGCAGCCTTCGAAAGGGGCGACAGCTTCACAGATCGCAGCCCCCCAAGGATGGCGAAGTCCCATTTGAATCCGCCGCGGGTGCCCACTGTGCTGGGCCCTGCAGCAGCCCTCGAAAGTGGCGACAGTTTCACAGATCGCAGCCCCCAGCAGCCCTCGAAACGCAGCGACGAGCCAGGTAAAAGGCAGGGGGGGAGAGAAGGACGGGAAGGAAGGAAGGTTCGCGCGAGCCGTGCTCTATTCAAAACGAGAACCCAACGCAGGAGGGTTGGGAAAAACAACGAAAATCGATACGAAAAACACAACAAGGGCTCAAACCAAACTAAACAGCGTTGTGGTCGGTCATTGGCCTTCGCCTTTCCCTTGGCCTTTGCCTTGGCCTTGGGGGGCATCGAGCAGCCCAGCCAGCGCTGCGAGCAGCCCCGTGAGGTGCCGCGCCTGCTCCAGAAGCACCGACCGCTCGCCCGTCGTCAGGCGCACCTGCCAGGCGTGCTGCCTGGCCAACGCGAGGAGGTAGCACAGCTCGCAGACCTCCAGGAGCCAAGCTCTCGGCGGTCGCCCAGCCGCCCGCCGCACCACGAGCAATATCGCCGAGGAGGTGGGTCGGGCGGCGGTGGGGGACTGGGGGCTGGACGGTTCGGCGTCCCCCACGCTGGCGCCTCCCTGCTCATGCCCTCGAGGGCAAGGTCGCAACTCGAAGGCGAAAGCCTGAGCCACTACAGCGACTGCCATGCATTCTGTTTGCGGCCATGTCTCGACGTCTACGCCTCGCCCATTCATCTGCCGCAAGCGTTTATATGTAGTGCGTGTATACTGGCAAACCTAAAACACTACTAGGACAACTAAAAATATTACTACTGCTACGGCCACCACCACCACCCTTCTAATCCTCCTCGTCCTCCTCGTTATCCCCCCATTTCTCCTCATTACTTTCTTGTGTAACGAAATTACCCGGAATCGCCCGAACGAAATGGTGCAGTCATCTTCTAGAACAATCGGTTCAGCAGAAAAGCTCCCTTCTCTCCCCCTTCTGAAAAATGAAGAACGCCAGACCCGTCTGAGTCCATGCAAGACCAGCAGACGTCCACGATTACCTAAGGATGAGCCGAAGAGTCAAGGATGCAGAATCACTATAATCCTTCATTCAGAAAGTTCGTTCGTGCACACATGCATCTTCTCCAAAAGCCGAAGATCGGCCGGGATCCTTCTCGCACTCGAGGTCCAGTATCGCGCTGGATATAGCACAGTACCTAACCAAAGAATAGGAATACACATGGTCCTGCGTGATATTGCGGTAATTCCCGACGTCCTGCGGGGAGGGAGACGGAAGTTTCCCAGAGGGGTGAAACGTTATCAGGTAAGTTCTGGTGTTTTCGGAAGATTTTAAACAACAACAACAACAACAAACAAAAAAAAAAAATCCAAGGTTGTCGGGGAGAGCGGGAGTTCGGATGTTTCGAGGAATCAGGAGCCTGTCCTCCCACTGGAACCTCTCCCACATCTTCGTGCTACTGCACCACGCGTGCATCATGGGCATGTTGGCGAAATGGTAAAACCTCGAGTGCGGGAGCCCAGCTGGAAGATGGGGAGAGGGGAGAGGGAGGGACCCACTCTAAGAGTGCCCTCCTGGGCCTGGGTGCGTACAGATGCAAGGGTACTGCAGATCGTGAGGCAAAAGTCCAATGAGCTGATCCCGAATGGCCTTCTGCAGCGAGAGAGCGCGCCTGACATTCCAGCGGACAAACAACCGCCGTAGCTGTCAAAACAATGGGACCAAAAGAACAATGCTCGTCAATAACTCTGACAATCCACTCAGATGCGTTCTAAAATGTAGTGCCTCTACGAGTGCACTTTGAAAATGTGTGTATGAAATTGCATATTGTGTGACAAACTTTCACAGACGAGCGCCACAAGTACGACAACTACACGTTCAGCAGCACACTGACAACAGAGGAGATGGAGGAGAAAAGGAAGCCGTCGAGACGACGACCCCGCATGCCTTGCATACCCTGACCTCCTCGGTGGGCTGCAGGGCACGCAGCTCAAGCAGGAGCGCGGCCCGGCGATGTACTACGTGTAGTTTTTCCTCGTCCAAGGTGGCCCGAGCCGCCTGGCTCGCCTCCCCGTGCGAGGCCACGCATGCTATGTCTAGTGCTCTCTCTCTCGCCCTCCTGTCGGGGGCAGGGTTCACCTGGCTGTGGGGGGGCACGAATCTCACTGCATGATTTTCTCGACTGTTGTTCAACCATGGATTTGTCAGAAGTGCGGTGCTTTCGGTCGGGACCAGCTCCGATCGCTGGCCAGGTCTTGTCTTCCAGAGCGTATCTCTCGTAACAAACGTGAGTACGTGGACAGGTTTCTTACAGGGTTCAGGCCCAAGAGCATGGGCACCTGATGCTGTTTGAAACTGCTTCGCAACTGTTCCGATTCCGATTTCGATTCCTGCTCGGCCTGACGGTGAGAAAGACGACGACGACGACGACGACGATGACGACGACGACGATGAGGAAGAAGATGAGGGGCAGGCGCTGGCTGAAGGCGGAACATATTGCGGTAGCCCTTCTTCGTCGCGTAGGCTTGTCTGGTCCTCCGGACGGCCCACCCAAACTCTGTGCGGCTATTCCCCACGCGCCAGTCTGAAGAAGTAAGCACACACACATAACATAGGAAGGAGGCTGAAGTAGAGTGAACTCTGGCCCGCCCCCGACAGAAGAAACAGGAAACCCTTCGACCTTGGAAGAAATCAATCACACTGGAATTAGATGTACTTTTGAGATTCCAAAAGAATTTTAAATTGTCGACCAACGTGTACTCCACGCCCCCACCTCACCATCCTTGCCCCCTCCCTCCTTTTCCCCCCTGAACCCCACAAAACGATCCCGAAGCATCTAGAAACCTTCGAAAACACCATGAACGGGCGAAAACGTCCGAAAATCAACGAACATGGGCGACCACGGAATCGGAAAGTTGAATATATACATATATATATGTGTGCCAAGCATACATACTGCCTCATCCTCAAGTGCTCATCTCTAGAGAACGACTCCCCATGTCATCCAAATGGGCTATTGTGATCATGCATACGCCTCCTACTCACACCTCACGCCTATCTCTCCATCCACTGCTCCTCTTCCTCACTCAGATTCACTCATGCTCAGACCCACTCGCACTCCGAATCAGTCATGATCAGACTCACTCATACTCAGACTCACTGACACTTTGACCCACGAACACTCAGACTCACCCACACGCAGACTCACTCACACTCAGGCTCACTCGCTCTCAAACTCACTCACATTCAGATTACTCACACCCACAGATTGTGGGTATGCCTAACGCGGTTTGCCTGTTTGGTTGCTTAGATTTCGCTGTTTTCAAAACAGACTGTCAGGATGTTTCGAGCGAGGCGTTGGTTTCAGCACCCCAAGGGGGGCCGCCAGGGTCATCGCACGGGACCGTTCGCGGCCGGATTGTGGGGATGTCTCAAGCCGTCTGCCAATGTAGTTGCTTGGATTTCGCCGCTTTCGAAGCAGATTGTCAGGATGTCTCGAGCGAGGCTCTGGCTTCAGCACCCCAAGAGGGGGCCGCCAGATGGTATTGCACGGAACCGTTCGCGGTCAGATTGTGGGGATGTCTCAGGCGGTTTGCCTGTATGTTTGCTTGGTGCTTGGATTTCGCCGCTTTCAAAACAAATTGTGAGAATGCCTCGAGCGGGGCTTTCAGCACCCCTAAGGAGGGCCCGCCAGGGGTTACAGCACGGGACCATTCGCGGCCAGAGTGTGGGGCTGTCCCGAGCGGTTTGTTCGTTTGGTTGCGTGGACGTCTTTGCTTTCAGAGAAGTTTGCGAGGAAGCCTCGAGCACGGCACTAGTTTTAGCACCCCGAGGGGAGCCTGCAAGGGGCACTGCACGGGCCCGTTCGTGGCCAAATTGTGGGGATGCCTTGAGCGGCTTGCTTGCGTGATTGCTTGGACGTCTCTGCTTTCATGGCAACTCCAAGAGAGTTCCGAGCGAAGCGCTGGCTCAGACTGTGGAGATGTATCAGGCGGCTTGTCTGCCTGGTGGCCCAGACTCCTCCAGCTGCGTGGACACCAGGGTGCGGTGTGGGGACCGGAGCAGACCGTGAGGATGTCCCGAGCGAGTCGCTAGGAAGACGACGAGGAGGAGGAGAAGGAGGAGGAGGAGGAGGCGGAGGAGGGGTCGTCCTCCTCCTCTCACTCATCCTCATCCTCCTTTCCCTCTTCCTCATCCTCTTCTAGTCCTCGTCCCCCTCGTCTCGTCCTCCTCCCCCCAACTCTCCTCTTCCAGTCTTTTGCCTGGATACTCATAATCCGTGCAAGATGTCCCGGTAATGTCTCATAGTCAGTGGGCCCCGCAGATGAAATTGGCAAGAAGGGATAATGCCGTCAAGCACGCACTAAGACAACACTGAAGGGAGGAGGCCAGCTCGCCGGCCGACGCGCGGGCACGCTCTTCTTCCGCTATCTCAGAGCCAAGCAGTGCTGCGGAAACGCAAGTCAAGAGAGCAGCAGACAGTGCAGGCGCAGGCAAGGCGAATGAGACGAGCAGAAACCTGGTGGTGCGGAGGGGTGCATTGACTCTTCCTTCTACTCATCCTCCTTCTCTTATTATTTGTCCTTCTCCTCATCCTTCTCGTCCTCCATCCTTCCTTCCTTCCTTCCTTCCTTCCTTCCTCCTCCTCCTCCTTCTCCTCCTCCTCATTCTCATCCTCTTCCTGCTCCTCCTCACTCCCCTCCTCACTCCTCTCCTCCCCCTCATCCTCCTCTTCCCTCTCCTCTTTATTCATCCAGCTGATTATGAGGATGTCCCGAGCGGGGCGCCTGTTTCGACACCCCAAGGTGGGGCCGCCAATCCCAATACACGTCCAAATACTCACAGACAAACACTCTCAGCGAGACTCGCCAAGAAATAAAACACACATCTGGGAGATTTCCGCGTCGAGTAGTTATGTTTGACATCTGGGAACGGTTTTCTCGATGTGCCCCGACCACCGCCATTGCGTGAATGTGCTACGAAACTGCAGTTTCCACAAACCTGCGGGCAGAAAACCCCTGACCCAAGGAGGCCCAACTTCGACGACAACAGCTCCCACTGGATACTTCCTCACAATGCACACCGAGACGCCCTGGCCAGAGAGGGCCCCAAACTCAGGAACGGCGCTGTCACTCTAGACTTCCTCGCAATTCAATCAAGATGTTGGAGGCCCGATTGCGACGACAACGGCTCCACCTCGATGCTTCATCACAATGCACTCCGAGACGCCCTGGCCTGAGAGGCCCTCAGACTCAGGAGCGGCGCTCGCGCTCGAGACTTCTTCGCACTGGACCCAAGTTCACCCACCTACGACGACAACGACTCTCGCTCGATAGTTCCTCACAATTTAATCCGAGACCCCTGGTCATGTGCAGCATCACGCTCGGGAGCGGCGCTGACGCCCGAGACTCTCGGAGTGCATTCGAATATGTGGAAACCCTGCCAAGAGGACACTGGCGGCCGCTCGATACCTGCTCACAGTTTACTCTCAAAGCCCTGGAGGCCCCCAAACTCAGAAACGGCGCGCTCTACCAAGACCTCGTCGCACTTCACGCAAGATGGTGAGTTGCCCGCGGGCGCATAGACTCGCATGACGGCCATGTCGGCTCGGTGCGAACAGAGTGCGCTGCTGAATGCTCCTCCCAGGAGCTGGTATGAAGGAACCCCCCGAGAACGGGGTTGCCTCATAACTCAACTTCGAGGGCCGGTACAAGGGGGAGGGGGAAACAAATGAAGGTCAAAGAAGCTTGTTAGACCGCATGTTCGCAAGGACTCGTCGTCGTCGTCGTTGTCGTCGTCGCCGTCGCCGTGGCCCGCCTCGTGCTCCCCCTCACGCCTCGCGCCACGTGGCCTCCAGGTCTCGCCATTGATCGCCGAAGCATCGGCCCACAGCATGGGGCGACAAGGAAACGCACCAGGGGGCGCGCCGCCAGACGCGCCAGGGGACGGGCCACGGGACGGGCCACGGGACGGGCCACGGGACGGGCCAGGGGACGGGCCAGGGGACGGGCCGGGGGACGGGCCAGGGGACGCGCCGGGGAGATCCCACGGGACGGGCTGGGGCGCGCGCCAGGCGCGCGCGCCACGGGACGTGCCGCGGCCGGGGCAGACGCCGTCACGGCCCGCGGCGCGGCACTCCGGCCGAATGCCCGGCTGGGCCTGGCGGCGTGGGAGCGGCCAGCGCGAGGAGCGGGGGCGGCGGGAGAGGCCGGCGGCGGGCCCCGAGGGAAGCGAAAGCTCTGCCGCGAGGCGGGGGCAAGCTCCCGCTGCGCCCGCCTCACGTGGGTGGAGAGACGACCCTCCCCCTGGCGCGGTCTGTGGGGACCCTGGCGGCGAGAGAGGAGGGGTGGCGGAGGACGACTACCCACCAAGCCAGCATTACCACCACCACCACCACCACCACCACCACCATCATCATCATCATCATCATCATCATCATCATCATCATCATCATCATCATCATCATCATCATCATCATCATCATCATCATCATCATCATCATCATCATCATCATCATCATCATCATCATCATCATCATCATCATCATCATCATCATCATCATCATCATCATCATCATCATCATCATCATCATCATCATCATCATCATCATCATCAGCATCATCATCTCATCATCATCATCATCATCATCATCATCATCATCATCATCATCAGCATCATCATCATCATCATCAGCAGCAGCATCATCATCATCATCATCATCATCATCATCATCAGCAGCATCAGCATCATCATCATCATCACCATCATCATCGTCATCGTCATCGTCATCGTCATCGTCATCGTCATCATCATCATCATCATCATCATCATCATCATCATCATCAGCATCATCAGCATCAGCATCATCATCAGTATCATCATCAGCATCAGCATCAGTATCAGCATCATCATCATCATCATCATCATCGTCATCGTCATCGTCATCGTCATCGTCATCATCATCATCATCATCATCATCAGCATCAGCATCATCATCAGTATCATCATCAGCATCAGCATCAGCATCAGCATCATCATCACCATCAGCAGCATCAACATGATCAATAACAGCATCAGCAGCATCAGCATCAAGATCATCAGCAGCAGCATCAGCATCCTCATCACCATCGTCATCATCATCATCATCATCATCATCATCATCACCATCACCATCACCATCACCATCATCATCACCATCATCATCATCAGTATCATCATCAGCATCACCATCACCATCAACATCAACATCACCATCACCATCACCATCAGCATCAGCGTGATCAATAACAGCATCAGCATCAGCAGCATCAACATCATCAGTATCATCATCATCATCCGCCTCTTCTGCCTGATCCTCATCGCCCTCCTGCCCCTCCACCTCCTCATCCTTCCTCCCTCCTCTTCCTTCTCCTCCGCCTCCGTCCATCCCTCCCCCTCCCTCTGTGCTTGCTGGGCCACGTTGAGCTGGGCTGGGCCGGGTCTCCCTCTCTTGATCCCCTCCCCTCCCTCTTGAACCGTGCCGCGCCTCTCCCTCC